TTTGGATTTCATAGTTTTATTTATAACTGCATGAATTACCAAGAATCGTTTTTCAGTTCTAAATATTTTGGTACGAAATCGAGTTTAATGTGTTCATTAATGATTCAACTTATTTTCAATAATGATGGTTAGGATGCGAGTTTACATAAGAACATGATGTCATATTATATTTCTTCACCACTGTAATAGTGCCAAGATTGACATGAAAGATAACATACTTATCATCGAAATAATGAGTTAACTTTTGCTAGTCTTCCAGCTGAAGGCATTACTACAGAAAATAAATCGCCAGTATGTTCAGCTCATCTTCACAGACATATATTATGAACAATTAAATATATATTATAAACCACTGTACATATATTAAGATGTAAATTGAATATCACACTAAAAGATAACTATATTCATCAATGACAACAGTTGATGAATGGGACACATGTGCAACACTTGGATATCTTCATTGTGTTGCAAATGTCTCATTGCAAATGTCTCATTGCAAATGTCTCATTGCAAATGTCTCATTGCAAATGTCTCATTGCAAATGTCTCATTGCAAATGTCTCATTGCAAATGCCTCATTGCAAATGTCTCATTGCAGGGGCTTTTAGCCATTTATTTACAGTGTTAACAGTTTTTATTGCAATCGTAAATTTCTCATCAAGTTTAAGAAAACATAATTTCAAGTAATCTTCATTGAGAATAATCTTCTTCAAGAAGCTTTTTATAATTATTGTTTTGTAATAATTGAGATGTTGAATAATTTATATGTTTTGTCCTTGAAAATTATTAAGTTGGTGCTCAGGATGGTGATCAATGTGCACCCAGGTGTTGTTGGTACTCAGGATGGTGATCAATGTACACCCAGGTGTTGTTGGTACTCAGGATGGTGATCAATGTGCACCCAGGTGTTGTTGGTACTCAGGATGGTGACCAATGTACACCCAGGTGTTGTTGGTACTCAGGATGGTGATCAATGTGCACCCAGGTGTTGTTGGTACTCAGGATGGTGATCAATGTACACCCAGGTGTTGTTGGTACTCAGGATGGTGATCAATGTGCACCCAGGTGTTGTTGGTACTCAGGATGGTGACCAATGTACACTCAGGTGTTGTTGGTACTCAGGATGGTGATCAATGTACACCCAGGTGTTGTTGGTACTCAGGATGGTGACCAATGTACACCCAGGTGTTGTTGGTACTCAGGATGGTGATCAATGTGCACCCAGGTGTTGTTGGTACTCAGGATGGTGACCAATGTACACACAGGTGTTGTTGGTACTCAGGATGGTGATCAATGTGCACCCAGGTGTTGTTGGTACTCAGGATGGTGACCAATGTACACCCAGGTGTTGTTGGTACTCAGGATGGTGATCAATGTACACCCAGGAGTTGTTGGTACTCAGGATGGTGATCAATGTGCACCCAGGTGTTGTTGGTACTCAGGATGGTGATCAATGTGCACCCAGGTGTTGTTGGTACTCAGGATGGTGAACAATGTACACCCAGGTGTTGTTGGTACTCAGGATGGTGATCAATGTGCACCCAGGTGTTGTTGGTACTCAGGATGGTGATAAATGTACACCCAGGTGTTGTTGGTACTCAGGATGGTGATCAATGTGCACCCAGGTGTTGTCGGTACTCAGGATGGTGATCAATGTGCACCCAGGTGTTGTTGGTACTCAGGATGGTGATCAATGTGCACCCAGGTGTTGTTGGTACTCAGGATGGTGATCAATGTGCACCCAGGTGTTGTTGGTACTCAGGATGGTGATCAATTTGCACCCAGGTGTTGTTGGTACTCAGGATGGTGATCAATGTACACCCAGGTGCTGTTGGTACTCAGGATGGGGATCAATGTACATCCAAGTGTTGTTGGTACTCAGGATGGTGATCAATGTACACCCAGGTGTTGTTGGTACTCAGGATGGTGATCAATGTACACCCAGGTGCTGTTGGTACTCAGGATGGGGATCAATGTACATCCAGGTGTCGTTGGTACTCAGGATGGTGATCAATGTACACACAGGTGTTGTTGGTACTCAGGATGGTGATCAATGTACACCCAGGTGTCGTTGGTACTCAGGATGGTGATCAATGTGCATCCAGGTGTTGTTGGTACTCAGGATGGTGATCAATGTACACCCAGGTGTTGTTGCTACTCAGAATGGTGATCAATGTGCATCCAAGAGTTGTTGGTGCTCAGGATGGTGATCAATGCGCACCCAGGTGTTGTTGGTACTCAGGATGGTGATAAATGTGCACCCAAGTGTTGTTGATACTCAGGATGGTGATTAATGTGCATCCAGGTGTCGTTGGTACTCAGGATGGTGATCAATGTGCACCCAGGTGTTGTTGGTACTCAGGATGGTGATCAATGTACACCCAGGTGTCGTTGGTACTCAGGGTGGTGATCCTTGTACACCGAGGTGTTGCTGGTACTCAGGGTGGTGATCATTGTATACCCAGGTGTTGCTGGTACTCAGGATTGTGATTAATGTACACCCAGGTGTTGTTAGTACTCAGGATGGTGATCATTGTACACCCAGGTGTTGTTGGTACTCAGGATGCTGATCAACGTACATCCTGGTGTTGCTCTTACTCAGTATGGTGATCAATGTACACCCAGGTGTTGTTGGTACTTAGGATGGAGATCATTGTACACCTAGGTGTTGTTGGTACTCAGGATGGTGATCAATGTACATCCAGGTGTTGCTGGCACTCAGGGTGGTGATCATTGTATATCCAGGCGTTGTTGGTACTCAGGGTTGTGATCAATGTACACCCAGGTTTTGTTGGTACTCAGGATGGTGATCGATGTACACCCAGTTGTTGTTGGTACTCAGGGTGGTGATCGATGTACACCCAGGTGTTGTTGGTACTCAGGATAGTGAATACTGTACACCCAGGGCGGTGAATATTCTACACCTAGGTGTTGCTGGTATCCATGATGGTGATCACTGTACACCCAGGTGCTGGTAAAGCCTTGCATTAATCAACTTACTCAATCTGCTCTCCTGGTTCTTTCGATGGCGTGCTTAAATGATACGAAACTAACTTATCCTTACACGAGAAGTATGAGAATGTCTCCCATTCCTCAGGTTCTGCATGTAAGCTGCCAGTTCAGGATTTCCCTAGATACAATAATAACCTTATATTTCCCAGGTGCAGTAAGACTCCTGGATGTTAGGTGCTTCCCATTAACACGATAATATCGCTAATAATGTAATACTGGCAGCATTCACCAACGTAATCATTCACTCGTATCAAACGCTGGGTTAATTTCCTCTTTCTTAGACCCAGAGGATTTAAAGAACCTGGCACGCCCCTTGTTCTCTGGACCTTCCATAGATTTCTTAGTAAAAAAATCTAAATTTTCAGGCATTTGCTCGTTTGATGTTTCTGGGAGCAGGGCGCACAGACCAGCAGAGATGAGGGACGCTGAACTAAACAACGCTGACGGTGCCCAGACTGCAACATCACCCTGCAGAAGTAAAGGTGATAATATATATATATATATATATATATATATATATATATATATATATATATATATAATATATATATATATATATGGGAGATGTTAAGTGAATGTATAGGAGCCTTTGAACCAAGTGAGAGAGTAATTGTGGTAGGGGACCTGAATGCTAAAGTAGGAGAAACTTTTAGAGAGGGTGTGGTAGGTAAGTTTGGGGTGCCAGGTGTAAATGATAATGGGAGCCCTTTGATTGAACTTTGTATAGAAAGGGGTTTAGTTATAGGTAATACATATTTTAAGAAAAAGAGGATAAATAAGTATACAAGATATGATGTAGGGCGAAATGACAGTATTTTGTTGGATTATGTATTGGTAGATAAAAGACTGTTGAGTAGACTTCAGGATGTACATGTTTATAGAGGGGCCACGGACATATCAGATCACGTTCTAGTTGTAGCTACACTGAGAGTAAAAGGTAGATGGGATACAAGGAGAATAGAAGCATCAGGGAAGAGAGAGGTGAAGGTTTATAAACTAAAAGAGGAGGCAGTTAGGGAAAGATATAAAGTTATTGGAGGATAGATGGGCTAATGAGAGCATAGGCAATGGGGTCGAAGAGGTATGGGGTAGGTTTAAAAATGTAGTTGTTAGAGTGTTCAGCAGAAGTTTGTGGTTACAGGAGGGGGGTGTGGGAGGGAAGAGGAGCGACTGGTGGAATGATGATGTAAAGAGAGTAGTAAGGGAGAAAAGTTAGCATATGAGAAGTTTTTATAAAGTAGAAGTGATGCAAGGAGGGAAGAGTATATGGAGAAAAAGAGAGAGGGTTAAGAGAGTGGTGAAGCAATGTAAAAAGAGAGCAAATGAGAGAGTGGGTGAGATGTTATCAACAAATTTTGTTGAAAATAAGAAAAAGTTTTGGAGTGAGATTAACAAGTTAAGGAAGCCTAGAGAACAAATGGATTTGTCAGTTAAAAATAGGAGAGGAGAGTTATTAAATGGAGAGTTAGAGGTATTGGGAAGATGGAGGGAATATTTCGAGGAATTGTTAAATGCTGATGAAGATAGGGAAGCTGTGATTTCGTGTATAGGGCAAGGAGGAATAACATCTTGTAGGAGTGAGAAGAGCCAGTTTGTGAGTGTGGGGGAAGTTCGTGAGGCAGTAGGTAAAATGAAAGGGGGTAAGGCAGCCGGGATTGATGGGATAAAGATAGAAACGTTAAAAGCAGGTGGGGATATAGTTTTGGAGTGGTTGGTGCAATTATTTAATAAATATATGGAAGAGGGTAAGGTACCTAGGGACTGGCAGAGAGCATGCATAGTTCCTTTGTATAAAGGCAAAGGGGACAAAAGAGAGTGCAAAAATTATAGGGGGATAAGTCTGTTGAGTATACCTGGTAAAGTGTATGGTAAAGTTATTATTGAAAGAATTAAAAGTAAGACGGAGAATAGGATAGCAGAAGAACAAGGAGGCTTTAGGAAAGGTAGGGGGTGTGTGGACAAGGTGTTTACAGTGAAACATATAAGTGAACAGTATTTAGATAAGGCTTTAGTAAAGGGGTCTTTGTGGCATTTATGGATTTGGAAAAGGCGTATGACAGGGTGGATAGGGGGGCAATGTGGCAGATGTTGCAGGTGTATGGTGTAGGAGGTAGGTTACTGAAAGCAGTGAAGAGTTTTTACGAGGATAGTGAGGCTCAAGTTAGAGTTCATAGGAAAGAGGGAAATTATTTCCCAGTAAAAGTAGGCCTTAGACAAGGATGTGTGATGTCACCGTGGTTGTTTAATATATTTATAGATGGGGTTGTAAGAGGAGTAAATGCGAGGGTCTTGACAAGAGGCGTGGAGGTAAAAGATAAAGAATCACACATAAAGTGGGAGTTGATGACACTGTGCTCTTGGGAGATTCTGAAGAGAAGTTGCAGAGATTGGTGGATGAATTTGGTAGGGTGTGCAAAAGAAGAAAATTAAAAGTAGATAACAAAAATATTAGGTGATGAAAGATTGGATATCAGATTGGAGGGAGAGAGTATGGAGGAGGTGAATGTATTCAGATATTTGGGAGTGGACGTGTCAGCGGATGGGTCTATGAAGGATGAGGTGAATCATAGAACTGATGAGGGGAAAAGGGTGAGTGGTGCACTTAGGAGTCTGTGGAGACAAAGAACTTTGTCCTTGGAGGCAAAGAGGGGAATGTATGAGAGTATAGTTTTACCAACACTCTTATATGGGTGTGAAGCATGGGTGATGAATGTTGCAGCGAGGAGAAGGCTGGAGGCAGTGGAGATGTCATGTCTGAGGGCAATGTGTGGTGTGAATATAATGCAGAGAATTCGTAGTTTGGAAGTTAGGAGGAGGTGCGGGATTACCAAAACTGTTGTCCAGAGGGCTGAGGAAGGTTTGTTGAGGTGGTTCGGATATGTAGAGAGAATGGAGCGAAACAGAGTGACTTCAAGAGTGTATCAGTCTGTAGTGGAAGGAAGGCGGGGTAGGGGTCGGCCTAGGAATGGTTGGAGGGGGGGAGGGGTAAAGGAGGTTTTGTGTGCGAGGGGCTTGGACTTCCAGCAGGCATGCGTGAACGTGTTTGATAGGAGTGAATGGAGACAAATGGTTTTTAATACTTGACGTGCTGTTGGAGTGTGAGCAAAGTAACATTTATGAAGGGATTCAGGGAAACCGGCAGGCCGGACTTGAGTCCTGGAGATGGGAAGTACAGTGCCTGCACTCTGAAGGAGGGGTGTTAATGTTGCAGTTTAAAAACTGTAGTGTAAAGCACCCTTCTGGCAAGACAGTGATGGAGTGAATGATGGTGAAAGTTTTTCTTTTTTCGGGCCACCCTGCCTTGGTGGGAATCGGCCAGTGTGATAATAAAAAAAAAAATAAATATATATATATTATTGTTATCGCGAACAAGTGGTATTGAATCAATAACAACACTGCGACTAGCCGAGGATTCGAACCCATATTGTTTTGATCCGCCTCATGGTGAGCAAAAACCACATGACGCTCTAACCCTCAGCTCTAACCCGTGGTCCTGTGGGTTAGAGCGTCATGTGCTTTTCGCTCACCATGAGGCGGGCCAAAACAACATGGGTTCAAATCCTCGGCTAGTCGCAGTGTTGTTGTTAATTCAATACCGCTTGTTCGCGATCACAATAATATATATATATATATATATATATATAAATATATATATATATATATATATATATATATATATATATATACAAAATTCTTGCGGAATTTTAGTAGCCTTCTAAGATTTGCATTACTTGTGGGGAAGGATTTTTCACAGTTCGCATGAAATCGAAAATCGAAAGAAACCACAACCAGTGGAAGAACATTTAAAATCTCGATAAAATTTATATGTAAGTGAATACACTCAAATGCATGTAGTATATACTGGCTGTAATTAGCGGTTTTTTGAGTCACCTGTCACCTCGCATGTTTGTGAGACAGAAAAATGCAATCCAGTTTGAGTGTAACGTTAATATTTTGGTAGAATTTGACACACTACTCCGTCTTATTATTATTATTATTATTATTATTATTTTATTATTATAATTTTCATAGCTTCATCATCATTACTTACCAAAATGTCATTGATATAAGGAGCTACAAAACTGCCGAGTCTTCCAAACACATTGGATTCCCCAACTGCCAGTGAGCGATACTTGGTGGGAAACAGCTCAATTGTGTAGAACCATATCAAGTTAAACGCAGCCGTTATGGTCACCTTTCCACACTGAGAGAAGAGTATTCGCAGCCACACTGGTGCTGGGAAAACACACACACATACTATAACTACAAAAATACATCTAAAAGAGATGAAATTTAAATAAAATAAAAATTATTTGCGCAAATCATCCACACTAGGGAAATTTAGTTAATTTACAAGCATGGAACAGTTTTGCTGTAGATCATCAGCGCATTTACAGGCTAAAATCTCGTTTCTTACCTCTGCTCATTTATAGGCATAAAACTGTCATTATACAGTGGACCCCCGGTTAACGATCTTTTTTCATTCCAGTAGTATGTTCAGGTGCCAGTACTGACCGAATTTTTTCCCATAAGGAATATTGTGAAGTAGATTAGTCAATTTCAGACCCCCAAACATACACGTACAAACGCACTTACGTAAATACACTTACATAATTGGTCGCATTTGGAGGTGATCGTTATGCGGGGGTCCACTGTACTTCAGTATAATTACATGTTAATAAATGTTTTTCGTCGCCAATTAATTTACAAGCTAAGAGACTTTGTATTACTTCAGCTCGTTTACAGGATAAAACTACACTGTTTTAGCTCATTTGTTAAATATGAACTGTACCCAAGAGGCCAGCATTCACTTCCCAAGAGACTGAGCAAACTGGATATTTCAGACTGGGTGATGGACCAGGCACCACGTGTAATCAGAGACATCAGATTGGTAAATAACCAGTAACTAGTATGCTTAGTCCAAAGGAAAAGTCCACAGATAGCTAGATCTGGGATGGCTGGTGTCTAGGTGGATTCGACTGACAGGTGTTTAATTAGTGTCAAAGTAGAACCCTTTAATTGACAACACTCTTGATGAATGAAAGATGTGCTTGACAGAGGCTCCTTACTGCGCAAGTTGAAGTGGTAATATAGCCAAAGTTTATGCTGACTTTACAAGTACTATGTGGCAGCTGTGATTGACGGGTAATGCGCGGCTCCTTCAATAATGGATAATGCACACTAGAGATGGGGAACAAGCCACCAGTTAACAGGTTGTGAACATCATCAGTGAAATCGAATTTGAAAAGAAGCAGGAAGAATTCCTCTAAGGAAAGACCACAGACTACCATATGCCACCCCTTTTGTCATGTCTAATTATTCAGTGGCTCAATATTTAGAAATGAGGTCTATGTCTTACCAGATCTCAGAAACTTGAACTTATGAGTGTCATAGTGACTGACATTCCTATATGTCAAGAGCACTTAATTAATGCTCATTATTGCCAGCAACCTAAGCCTAAAATAGACCGGGCACTAGAGCTAAATAGTATGAATGCTCAAGTGCAGTCTCCTTGGAATCTAACACCATGTAGGAGGCACAGCTGCGTCCAGCAGGGAACGTACAAAAGGCCGTCCCTAATCCCTGACCTCTGATTTGAAGTATGTTCCAACATCCAGGCCAAGACAGGAGTGTTGGGAGTTTCGAAGACTTATTTAAGTTATTTCGTTGATTTCTGGACCCATAAGCAAGAATTTAAATCAATGGAGCGAACCGTGACCTCCTGGGTGTTACTCGTGTGTGTTTTAATTGAGTGCAATCACCTATAATGACTGGGTGACATTCAGATACGACAGATGCTATTCAATTAGCAGAACAAATCTTTCTGGGTGCCTTATGCTGACAATTTCTAGTCCTACTACTCTGAGTCTCAAGATAGACAAGACCTGGGGCACGTAAATCTATTTTCCCACTTTGTTAATTAAGTTGGGTACAATCCTTAATCTTGTGCAAGGTACGTAGGGCCCCAATATAAGTATAGTGGTGTTGATTTGAAGATAAATGGGAGTCAGTCCCAGAGTGGGTAACTTGTAATTCACCACGTATGGCGTAAGAATCTTCGTGTCAATTCAATGCTCCACTCAGTGACTAAGTGTGCTGGGTTACTCTGCATGGTAATGGACCAGGTAATAGGTGTCATCAAGGGCATCACATTGGTATGTAGCCAGTGTTCTTGGTATGACAGCTCATTTGTGGAGGAAATAATCACCTGAATTCAAAATACACGGGACGGCTGGCGAATTCTGGGTGAGAGAGATGGGTGAAATGTTGTGGAAAACCTTCCACATTGTCTTTATAGTTATTCTCAAAAAGAAATTCTTGAATTCTTCCGCACTAAAACTGCTCTTCAGGTGACATAACGGGATTTATTGGTATTGATGCCTTCATTTATGATTATTGGCCGCAGTCTTTGATTTAAGGGTCTTAGTGATGGGACTAAACTCTTACAGGCACCAATGAATTTCTTGATCCTTGAAACTCTTGGTACAAAAATAATTGTTTTTCATCTAATAATAAGGAAGCTGCAGCCTCCATCCTGATATTCAGGATCACTGGCAGCATCTTGGAACCGACTCAGATTTAACGCCCCGTCCAGTGGACAGATTTTGGTGCTTTTTTTGGTCATTCACTTCACTCAGTAGGGCCAAACACCCTTCACAGATCTTTCTTAAGAAATTTTTTTGGGGTCTGATACTATACTTATCCGTCTATTAGAAAAGGAGTAAATTATATTACGTAAATTTTAATGAAGTTACTTTAGGTTACTAGGTTAAATTGTTGAATAAAATGCATACATAAAATGGCTTACCTTTAGCAATTTTCCTGGTGATGATTCTAAACAACATTTACATTTAAAATTTTCCAAAATTAGATAGTTACCTTGGGGAACCCACAGTTGCAGTGCCATAATGAGTAGCATGGAGAGAGCAGACAGCGAGAGCAGCAACATCATAGACTTCCTCCGTCCTATACACGTCAGCAGTACCCACATGATAACAAACGCTGGCAGCTCCATCACTCCACCCAGGAATATATACACATATGGGTCCGCACTGGAGGAACGCAAAATTACTACAATAACCACACAATTACTGACAAAGTAATCTTTATATATATATATATATATATATATATATATATATATATATATATATATAATATATATATATATATATATATAATATATATGCATATATATATGCATAAATATATATATATATAATATATATATATATATATATATATATATATATATATATATATTATATGTATGTATATTAATAATAATATATATTTTATAAAATATATATATATATATATAAAAATATATATATATATATAAAATATATATATATATATATATATATAAGCAAAACAACCACTGTGAAAGAATAGTGAAATTCCAATAAAGGGTCGAGACAACACCTCACCATCACATCCCATAACAAAGCAAACACGTGACACGCGACGACACCCGAATCATAACAACACTGCAACAGGCCTGTTGACCCCAACTAGGCAGGTCCTTCGCGACATCCCACTAACAAAATATTTGCCCATCCGAAGTACTCCACCCAAAAACTAAGATTTCTTATTTGTCCAATGTATTATTAAATTCTTCCCAAATTTTATTAATTATAAATGGATCTAATTTATATAAACTAAAGGAAATATTCATATTAGTTTCAAAACTGCTTTTTAAGAAACATGATTCAATTACATTCCTGTCGAAAGCGCTTGGAATTTCACAATTCTTTCACGGTGGTTGTTTTGCATATTCTGATACCACCTGTTTATTGTGACCTTAATATATATATATATATATATATATATATATATATATATATATATATATATATATATATATATATATAATATATATAATATATAATATATATCCACGAATGAGTGGTTTTAAGCAAATAATTCTACGACTGGCGCTGGGAATCGATCCCCTGATATTTTAGCATGTCTCGCGGGAAGCCCTCCAAAATTCCGAGACTCCTTAGTCCACTCTGCATAAATGCTTCAAACTTCAGGTGCCCAGTACCATTGGACATGTCACTCCTGATGCGAGGACATACGTGGCCATGGAAGCTACAGGACTAATTTCATTCTTCTCCCGTTTAGAATACCGGTCTTCATGAGCAGTACACATATTAATGCATTCATAAATAAGTCGTTTTAAGCAAATAAGAATACGTGCTAAAATAACAATGACAATATATGTTAAAATATCGGGGGTTGGATTCCTGTTCAGTCACAGCATTATTATTTGCGTGGAATAATTTATGTGCGTGGAATAATTTATAGCCTTACATATGGCATTCAGAAGACATTTTTTTCCTCTTTCATCGTTCCTTTAATACATTTTTGTAACTTTGGAGAAAGAAATACAGCGACTACAAAGTTAAGAACTTGTGGATGGTGAATAACTAATCTTGTAGTTCAGTTGTAGTTGGTTCGACTCGCAACGGATAGGACGAGAATTGGACACTCAAGAAAGGCAGACGAGACGTTTAGGTAAGTTTGCTTACACTAAAATCCTATAAGTAATTATAACCTTAATTTTTAAAGAGATGGACCAGTAAACCAGCGGAAGGCATCGGTCAGATGAAGGCAGGAAACACATGTCCTATTTCCTGACGAATCTTACCTAACCCAACCTCCTCACACCTGCTGCCTCTACTTACCAGTCGACAAGCTTTCTACCCGGAGACTAGTCGACTGTTGGGGTCTCCCTGAAGTGAAAGGACCTAGACAACTCAATGAATAAGAACCACATTGCTTCTCCTTCACGAATCATCCTCGGTTATTAACCTACCGGGGTTATTAACCCACCAGAGTTTTAACCTACCGGAGTTATTAACCCACAGGGGTTATTAACCCACCGGTGAGAATAAAGCATCAACATATATAAACTGAAATATATACAACTCTCCATGTATATAACCTTGGGGTTATATACTCTCGGGGTTATAAACTCTGAGGGTTATATACTCTGAGGGATATATACTCTGAGGGTTACATACTCTGAGGACTATGGATGACTAATTAGATTTCATGCTTATAGAATCGTTGAAGATCATTAAAGCTACATGTAACCTATTCACTACAAGTGATAAATACTTTCATGTCTTATACGGGGATTAAATTCAGTGCATATACACTGAGATACACCTCGGTGCATCGTGCAGGGTTAAGGTAGCAGGAATATAGCCTAATGTTTGCTTGGTTAATGGGATTTAATGTTCATCGACTACTCAAAGGGTCATGAAAAGAGTTCATGTTCAGTAGTCAAGAATACTCTAATCCCAAATATAAGGATTAAAATCAATTCTCATCACATATAAACTGAGAAACATACCCTTCTTGGTTTATAGTTAGCGGGGTTTTAAGTCTGTCGACTACACTAAATTAACTGAGACTGCAGGTAGCCCTGTTCTCCATATCACATAAATACTTTATTCCCCAAGATAGGGATTAATGTAAACTTTCAGTATTTATAGTATCAGATTTCCCAAGTGTATGTGCGAGTGTGTGTTTTGGTGGCAGTCACGACAGTCTACATGCCTAAGTAATCATTTTATCATTATTTTTGGTGCTGGCTGTCATGCTGTGTTAAGTGTATGGACTGTAGGACCAAAAGTTGCAGTTGATAAGGTGCTGCCGGTGATGCCTCACCATTTTTGGATCATGAAGAGTGATCCTTTGTGTTTTGGGAGCTGTGTTTCTCCAGGACCCACCTGTGTTTTTTTTTTTTGATCACCAATATGGGGTGACCCAGGTTTCCTTGAAATGACAGTGCAGGTGAAGGCTTGGAAGGCCCACCTTTTAACGATCAACGGTGATGATTCCAGAGTTTCTTCAAGGACATAGTCCCACCGACAAAATTTATATGCGACTGTTTACCAGGTTTTGAAGTCTGATAATTTTCCCTCCTGTGTTCTCCAATTTCACCCAGAGGTGTGTTCTGCGTAGCCAATTTGATTACTGCTCATTGCTGTGAACCACATTTTGGTTAAGTTTTAGGCCCTAGGTTGGTGTATTTTAATATTTTAAATGCCCTTAGACAAGGCTTTTACACTTATGCTCAAGCATATATTTAGGTAACATGATAAATTGAGGTAGAGAGGTTGGAACAAAATAGAATGACTTCAAGAATGTATAAATCTGTAGTGGAGGGAAGACGGGGTATGGGTCGGCCTAGGAAAGGTTGGAGGGAGAGTGTAAAGTAGGTTTTTGTGTGCGAGGGGCTTGGACTTCCAGCAAGCATACATGAGCATGTTAGATAGGAGCGAATGGAGACAAATGGTTTTTAGTTTTCACGTGCTCTTGGAGTGTGATCAAGGTAACATTCATGAAGGAATCAGGGAAACCGGCGGGCCGGATTTGGTCCTGGAAAATGAGAGTCCAATTCTCACTTGAAGGAGGGGGTAATGTTGCAATTTTTTAATGTGTGTAAGCGTGCCCGGGCTGACAGGATGGAGTGAAGATGAAAGTTTTTTTTTTCGGGCCACCGTCCCTTGGTGGGAAATGCCGATTGTTAATAAAAAATAATAAAAAATGCTATAGTAATATAACTACGAAAGCAAAATTTTTTTATACAGTCAAAAACACGCACCTAAATTTTTTTCCATGCGGTTCATCATCCTTAAATGCAAAAAATAACTTTTACAAACAATATAAAAATTTATAATAAAAAAATAAAAAATAAAAAATAAAAAATAAAATAATATTAAAAATAATAAAATAAAAAATAAAAAATAATAAAATAAAAATAATAAAAATTTATTTTTTTAATACCTGAGGTTGGTAGAGCTGGAGATACTCCAAAAACCCCAGGGCAAAGCAAACCACAAAGAAGAGACAGAGTGATAGTCCTGATTGTTTGGTCAGCAGTAACGAGACCCACTGGCCCGTTTTTAGACCTTACTCCACACGCTGCTTCTCACTCTCTCCCTCACTGCATTCACCAGGGAAATCAAACAAGACCCAAAGCACTCGGAAAAAAAACCCCCTCCATTGTAATAGATCCCAGTTTACAATTTTTGGGAGAACCACACAAATTTTTCTTAATAGCATAAAAGTCCAAACTTTGAAGCTTTTGAGACTCGTAAAATTCCCCTTTAGCAAAGACTTACCTGGTTTGGGCGGGAGCCCAGAAACTAAGTGGAAGATCATCAGGGTCAACATGAACATTAATAAGAGCATGTATTTACACACACACACGGGGCCGGGAGCTAGAATCGATCCCTGCAACCCCAATTAAGTGAAAACACACACCACACCCACACACCCCCACACCACACACACACACACACCACACACACACACACACACACACACACACACCATTTTGAACGACTGACGGAAGAATAACTCTGGGTGTCCCTGTTTTCAGATCGTGAAACTGAAGAAAAATTCATTCATCGAAAAACCAGCAGAACTACAAAGGGATCTGGGCAGTCGCAGACCTGGGCCAGCAATTGGCTCCTGGAGTTTAATCCCCCCAAATGCAAAGTCATGAAGATTGGGGAAGGGCAAAGAAGACCGCAGACGGAGTACAGTCTAGGGGGCCAGAGACTACAAACCTCACTCAAGGAAAAAGATCTTGGGGTGAGTATAACACCAGGCACATCTCCTGAAGCGCACAACCAAATAACTGCTGCAGCATATGGGCGCCTAGCAAACCTCAGAACAGCATTCCGACATCTTAATAAGGAGTCATTCAGGACCCTGTACACCGTGTACGTTAGGCCCATATTGGAGTATGCGGCACCAGTTTGGAACCCAAACCTAGCCAAGCACGTAAAGAAACTAGAGAAAGTGCAAAGGTTTGCAACAAGACTAGTCCCAGAGCTAAGAGGTATGTCCTACGAGGAGAGGTTAAGGGAAATCAACCTGACGACACTGGAGGACAGGAGAGATAGGGGGGACATGATAACGACATACAAAATACTGAGAGGAATTGACAAGGTGGACAAAGACAGGATGTTCCAGAGATTGGACACAGTAACAAGGGACACAGTTGGAAGTTGAAGACCCAGATGAATCACAGGTGTTTTGGAAGTATTTCTTCAGCCACAGAGTAGCCAGTAAGTGAATAGTTTGGGAAGCGATGTAGTGGGGCAGGATCCATACATAGCTTTAAGCAGAGGTATGATAAAACTCAAGGCTCAGGAAGAGTGACCTAGTAGCGATCAGTGAAGAGGCGGGGCCAGGAGCTCGGACTCGACCCCCGCAACCTCAACTAGGTGAGTACAACTAGGTGAGTCACACACACACACACACACACACACACCCGACGGTGTAAGGAGGCAAAAACAAAGTGCAATAGAGAATGGAAAAGTACAGAAGGAGAGAACACACGAAAATAGGGAGATCAGTCGCAGAGCCAGGAATGAGTATGCACAGGTAAGGAGGGAGGCCCAGCGACAGTATGAAAATGACATAGTATCGAGAATTTCAAGACTGACCCGAAACTGTTGTATAGCCACATCAGGGGAAGACAACAGTCAAAGACCAGGTGATCAGATTAAGGCCAGAAGGTGGAGAACTCAAAAGAAATGATCGGGGAGGTATGTGAGGAGCTGAACAGGAGATTTAAGGAAGTTTTTACGTAGAGACAGGAAGGGCTGTGGGAAGACAGCACCAGAAGGGAACATAAAAGAGGGAATATACCAACAAGTGTTGGATGACATGTAAAACAACTGGGGGAGGAGGAGGTGAAGAAGCTCTTAAGTGACCTTGACCCCTCAAAGGCGATGGGACGGACAACATCTCCCCATGGGTCCTTAGAGAAGGAGCAGAGATGCTGTGCATGCCTCTAACCACAACCCTTTTCAACACATCCCTTGAAACTGGGCAACTACCTGACAAATGGAAGACAGCTAATGTAGTCCCCATATTTAAGAAAGGAAAACAGAAACGAGGCACTAAACTACAGACCTGTGTCTTGACATGTATTGTGTGCAAAGTCATGGAGAAGTTATCAGGAGGAGAGTGGTCGAACACCTGGAAAGGAACAAGATTATAAATGAAAACCAGCATGGGTTCATGGAAGGCAAATCCTGTATCACAAACCTCCTGGAGTTTTATGACAAGGTAACAGAAGTAAGACACGAGAGAGAGGGGTGGGTAGATTGCGTTTTCCTAGACTGCAGAAGGCCTTTGACACAGTTCCCCACAAGAGATTAGTGCAGAAGCTGGAGGATCAGGTGCATGTAAAAGGGAGGGCACTGCAATGGATAAGGGAATACCTGACAGGGGGGCAGCAACGAGTCATGGTTACCTGGAGGTTACCTGGAGGTTATTCCGGGGATCAACGCCCCCGCGGCCCGGTCCATGACCAGGCCTCCCAATGGATCAGGGCCTGATCAACTAGGCTGTTACTGCTGGCCGCATGCAGTCCAACGTACAAGCCACAGCCCGGCTGATCCGGCACTGACTTTAGGTATTTGTCCAGCTCTCTCTTGAAGGCAGCCAGGGGTTTATTGGCAATTCCCCTAATGCTTGATGGGAGGCTGTTGAACAGTTTTGGGCCCCGGACACTTATGGTGTTTTCCCTTAGTGTACCAATGGCGCCCCTACTTTTTATTAGGGGCTTTTGCATCCCCTTTCCCAGTCTTTTTACTTTCGTAGGAGTGTTTTCTGTGTGCAGTTTTGGGACCATTCCTTCCAAGATTTTCCAAGTGTAGATTATGATATATCTCTCCTCCTGCGTTCCAACGAGTACAAGTCAAGTGCTTCCAAGCGTTCCCAGTATTTAAAGGGTTTGCTTGACAGAACTTATACGTGCAGTAAAGGATTCTGTACACTCTTAGATCTGCAATTTCCCTGCTTTGAATGGAGATGTTAATGTACAGCAGTATTCCAGCCTAGAGAGAACAAGTGATTTGAAAAGAATCATTTTTGGGCATGGCATCTCTCGTTTTAAAAAGTTCTCATTATCCATCCTATCATTTTCTTTGCACGGGGCGATCGTGGCACTGTTGTGATCCTTGAAAGAAAGATCCTCAGACATTACTACTCCCAGGCCCCTTACATTATTTTTCTGCTCTATGTATGGCCGGAAGTCAGTAGTAACTCTGTCTAGTTATTATCTCCTCCAGTTTTCCAAAAACGGAAGTAGTTGGAATTTGTCCTCAATTGAACATCATATTGTTTACCGTTGCCCACTGGAAAACTTCGTTTATATTTTCTTGGAGGTTAAACCGCGTCCTCAGCAGATGACAGCCCATGCAGATCCTAGTATCATCCGCAAAGGATGATACGGTGCTGTGGTGTATATCTCTGTTTATGTCTGATATGAGGATAAGGAATAAGAGGTGGGGGCGAGTACCGTGCCTTGTGGAACAGAGCTCTTCACTATGGCAGCCCCCGATTTAACTCTGTTGACCACTACTCTTTGTGTTCGATTTGTTAGGAAAGTTGAAGATCCATCTCCCCACTTTCCCAGTTTTTCCCTTTTTAGCATGTTTTTTATGGGCTATTACGCCATGATCGCATTTGTCAAATGCTTTTGCAAAGTCTGTGTATATTACATCTGCATTTCTGATTTTCTTCCAGTGCATCCAAGGCCATATCATATGATCCAGTAGTTGTGAGAGGCAGGAGCGCCCTGCCTGAACCCATGTTGCCTTGGATTGTGCAGTTTTGGGAATTCAGGTGATTTGCAACCCTGCTTCTTAGCACTCTTTCAAAGATTTTTATGATGTGGGACGTCAGAGCTATTGGTCTATAGTTCTTAGCTAATGCTTTGCTGCCACCTTTATGGAGTGGGGCTATATCGTTGTTTTTAAGTGACTGTGGAATTTCCCCCATGTCCAAGCTCCTCCTCCATAGTGTACTTAGGGCACGTGAGAGGGGTTTCTTGCAGTTCTTAATGAAAACAGAGTTCCACGAGTCGGGCCCGGGGCTGAGTGATAGGCATGTTGTCAATGGCTTTTCGAAATCTATCGGAGTTAGGGTAATGTCGGAAATCTGGCATACATTTATGGAGTTTTGAGGCTCATTCATGGAAGAAATCATTTGGGTCGTCGATCCTCAGCCCGTTAGTGGTTCACTAAACACAGAGTCGTACTGGGATTTTCAATATTTCCCACCATTTCCTTGTTGTCATCTGTGTAAGTCCCATCCTGTTGAGTAAGGGCCCGATACTAGATGTGGTATTTGCCTTGTTTTTGGCATTGAAAAAGAAATGTTTTGAATTTCTTTAAATTTTCATAATAGTTTTAAGCTCCTCCTGCCTCTCCTGGTTCCTGTAAGAGTCATTTAGCTTAAGTTCGATAGTTTCCACTTCCCTGGTCAGTGCCTCCTTTCGTGTTTCAGATATTCTAGGCACTCCTGAGGAGCTCAGTGACTCTTCGTCGTCTTCTGTAGAGGGAGCGTCTTTTTCTCCCCAGTTTACTCCTGCTCTTCTTCTTTCTTAGGGGAATATGCCTAGAAACATGCTTCGGCTACCAGGAAGTTGATCCTTTCAAGGCACTGGTTTGGATCCATGTCATTTAAGACATTTCCCAACATGTTTCGTTTAGGACATGGTTTACTGGTCCCAGTTGATGTTCTTTTTGTTGAAATTGTTTTTTTGTGAAGACACCTTCACAGGTACATGCATTCTGTGATCAGGAACCCTATGCATGTACGTCTGGACTTCGATTAGATTGTGATCAGATTATTGTTTTTGATATTCTTTTGTCTCTTATCAGGTTCCTAATTTATTTGTGAAGATAAGGTCAAATGTGTTTTCTAGTCTTGTTGGCTCCATATCTGCGGTTTAAAGGTGTGTTTTTCGCAGAGACTTAGTAGCTCATGTATGT